TATCCCTGGTATGCAGGGATGGTTCAACATTTGCAAATCAGTGTAATACATCAAATTAATAAACTTCCGAGGAAAAACCATATGATTATCTCAAGAGATAGAAAGCATTTGATAAGATACAGCATCTTTTCATGATGAAAACTCTAAGGAACTTGGGTATAGAAGGAACATTCCTCACAAAATCAAGCCAATTTATGACAAACCCATGGTCAGCATCATATTGGATAGGGAAAAGTTGGAAGCATTCCCACTGAGATCTGGTACCAGACAGGGCTGCCCACTCTCACCATTGCTATTCAATATAGTCCTGGAAGTTATATAGCTAGAGCCATTAGGCAAGAAAAATAAATCAGAGGAATACAGATAGTGATAGTTTGACTTCCTCCGTCCCAATGTGCAGACTACATGATTCTATATATAGGAGATCCAAAAGACCCCACTAAGAGACTTGAAACTCATAGAAGAGTTTGGTAAAGTCAGTATGAATGTAGTCCTACCATACGACCCAGCCATCCCACTCGTCAGAAATGAAATCAGCAAATAAAAGTTATCTGCACTTCCATGTTTATTGTACCTCAATTCAGAACAGCTAAGACATGGAATCAACTTAAATGCCTGTCAGTGGAAGACTGGATAAAGAAATTATGGGATATGTACTCTATGGAATACTACACAGTGGCTATAAAAAAAAAAAAGAATCCAGTTATTTTCAATCAAATGGATGAATCTGGAAAATCATGCTGAGTGAAATAAGCCTGTCAAAAGGGACAAATACCGTAAGTTCTCCCTGATCTGTGACAACAGAACACCTGAAAGGAAACCTGGAGAAGTGAAATTGACACTATGAGAAGCAATGACTTGAATAGCCTTTGTCTTGACTGTCGAGGAACAGTTTATCTTTCAATTTATTTTTTTTCTACTTAATACCACTGGTCGAACTCTAACATAATTAATCACAGATGTATAAATGCAATTGAAAATAAATCCCAGTTAAGAAAAATGGGAGTAAGAGAGAGGAGCTGTACAGTTCGGCACACAATCCCATGGATTTACCCCTAAGGATAAAGCTAAAAATTGACCATGGGACTCCAAATCCCAGTAAGTTGGGTGGGACTAATGCCATCTTATGTGCTAGTGATCATATTAACTGTGTATTGATCATATATATAGGATTAAATGTCAGCGTGATCACATAAATAAGACCAATTGTCTGGTGATAAGAATAGAATTATAAAAGGCTGCTCCAACGTGGGAAGCAGTCCACACAGCAGACTCAGAATGACCGATGCCCTAAACAGCACTCTGACCTCAGAATCAGACCTTAAGACATTCTGATCCAGCTCAAAAGCCCATGAGAGCATTTCAGGCATGGAAAGCCAAGACACTGTGGGAAAAAATTATCTACATAAAGGATCTCTGTGAGTGAGACCCCAGTAGAAAGGAGGAGTCCTCAAAGAAGGAGGTACTTTCTCTGAAGGGAGAACTTCCACTTTGACTATGGCCCTGTCTAAATACCGACGGAGTTTGTGGACTCAAAAGGCTTCCATAGCCTTGGCAGCTCATGTCAAAAGCCTTTGGTGGTCACTGATGTTATAAATAGGAGTGCCAATTGTTAACAACAGGAATCACTGTGCACTTACTCCCCATGTAGCACTTCTGTCCTTAATGAGTTGCACTATGAGAATTAACAGTAAAGCCTGTTTTCAAACAGTACTTTATACTTTGTGTATGTGGGTGCAAATTGTGGAAATCTTTACTTAGTATAGAGTTGGTCTCCTGAATATCAAGTTAATTAAAAATGAATCTTAATGAATAATGGGATAGGAGAGGGAGTAGGAGGTGGGACTGGAGTCGGGGGTGGGAGGGCAGGTATGGGGGAAAGAACTTCTATATGCCTGAAGCTGCACCTATGAAATTTGTAGTCATTAAATAAAAGCTTGGTTTAAAAAAAAAAAAAAGTTTACTTGAAAGTCAGAGTTACAAAGAGAGAAGAGAAAGAGGTCATCCATCCCATGGTTCACTCCCCAATTGGCCACAATGGCCAGAACTGTGCCGATCTGAAGCTAGGAGCTTCCTCCAGGTCTCCCACGTGGGTGCAGGGACCCAAGGACTTGGGCCATCCTCCACTGCCTTCCCAGACCACAGCAGAGAGCTGGATCAGAAGTGGAGCAGCTGGGACTTGAACTGGTGCCCATATGGGATGCTGACACTTCAAGCCAGGGCATTAACCTGCTGTGCCACAGCACCGGCCCCAAATAAAAGCTTTCTTTAAAAAACAACAACCACCTTGGCTAGCACCGTGGCTCACTAGGTTAATCCTCCACCTGTGGCACCGGCACACCGGGTTCTAGTCCCGGTCGGGGTACCGGATTCTGTCCTGGTTGCTCCTCTTCCAGTCCAGCTCTCTGCTGTGGCCCGGGAAGGCAGTGGAGGGTGGCCCAGGTCCTTGGGCCCTGCACCCACATGGGAGACCAGGGGGAAGCACCTGGCTCCTGATCAGCGTGGTGTGCATACTGTGCTGGTTACAGCAGCCATTGAGGGGTGAACCAACGGAAAAAGAAGACCTTTCTTTCTGTCTCTAACTCTGCCTGTCTGCCTCACGTGACCCAATCATAAAAAAGACGCCCTCAAAAATAGGAACAGACCAGTTTTCTGCTGATGCACACTGCTGGAAGCAGCAGATGAAGGCTCAAATTGTTGGGTCCCTGCAGCTCATGTGGGAGATCTGGATTGAGTTCCTAGCTTCTCTGGCTTTGGCCTGGCCCTGCCACAGCCTTCGTAGAAATGTGAGGAGAGAGAACCAGCAAATGGGAACTCTATCTATCTCTGCCTAATAAAGTAACAGGGGCCGGCGCTGTAGCATAGTGGGTAAAGCAGCCGCCTGCAGTGCCGGCATCTGATATGGGCACCGGTTCGAGACTAGGCTGCTCCACTTCCCATCCAGCTTTCTGCTGTGGCCTGAGAAAGCAGAAGATGGCCCAAGTCCTTGGGCCCCTGCATGCATGTGGGAGACCCAGAAGAGACTCCTGGCTTTGGATCGGCACAGATCCGGCCGTGGTGGCCGGTTGGGGAGTGAACCAGCTGATGGAAGACCTCTCTCTGTCTGCCTCTCCTTCTCTGTGTAACTCTTTCAAATAAATAAGTAAATCTTTTTATATATATAGTTTTTAAAATAGGAGTATAAAGGTATTTCCTCAATTTGAGAAAGAGCACAATAAAACCCTTGCCATTAACATTATACAGCCAGTGAAAGACTCCACATTCTCCCAGTAAAGGGGAATGAGACAAGGATGTCAGCTCCCATTGATCTTTAACACAGTCCTCAAAGCAGGAAAGACAAGAAAACCAAATAGAGGGAAGACAGACCATCAAGTAAGAAAGCAAACTGATGACATAACTGAATACACAAAATCCTCAGTAATCCAGAAAAACCAACCAGATACTGTCTCTGAGACAGGAAGTGTGGTCAGAGAGGCCTCAGGTACAACAGACGAAACCCTAGCTGTGCATACCAACAATGAGAACACAGCCTCACTGATTTCAAAGAGCCTTAATAAAGGAAATGTCTGGTTGTCAATCTAAGCAAGCACACACAGGACTTGTAAAGACAAAATACTGGTGAAAGGAAAAAGTCAGCTACGATCTAAACATATTGAGGGACTTACTGGGCCGTGGCCTGGGAGACTCCACGTGGCACGCACACCAATCTTCCCCACCCTTGAAAGCGAGCTGCCTACTCCGTCTTCTCTGACAACAGCCAGTAGCAGGGGTGGGGGCCTCGCTGCAGCCCTGGGCCTGCCCGTGGGCTCTGGGCTCCCCACTCTGCCTTAGCTGGTCAGGGCTGCAGGTTTCCTGTTGTGTTTAACTGGAGTAGAGCAGCAATCATCTAAACTTTCTCCTTTTCTGGCTAGAAAGAGCTCCGTGTGGTGACAGTAGGGTGTGTGTGTGTGTGTGTGTGTGTGTGTGTCGGTTTTTCCTGTCCTTGGCTGTCACGGTTTCCTGCCGCCTTTGGCTTCATCTCGGTCACCATTGGGATTGAACACAATCCACCTGTGAGTAATGGATTGAGAATCAGCGTGTAGAAACTTACAGGAAATGGCACTTGCACTACACGTGCTCAGTGTAATGACTAAAATGATGGTATTGTGCATTGTTTCCACATACTTCCTCCGTGTTCATTATTATTGCTAACGAGCCCGTCTGTGATGGCTCACTCCACCTCCTTAAAGCACCCCTTCGTGACGATCCTAGGAGTGGATGGCCGGGGTAGGGTGGTTGTCACTGGCGATGGGGGCAAGGTCTGCGAACCCCCACCACCCCATCCGCGTTCAGGCTGCTGAGCACGGGGCCTGTGTGCGCAAGAACTGACAGCGTGCGGGCCTGCTCGGGCACAGCCCCCTGGGGAGCCTTTCGCTCTGGTGGAGTCATGCAAGATGCAGCCAGCCAAGTGAGGCAGGGGACTGCCTGTGAATCTGTCACGGTCATACACAAGGGGCTCCCTTAGCCTTCAGCCCGTCCCCCGGGGATTCTGAGGACCCAGGAACTATGGGCGGGTTCTGCCTCTGCCTCTGCTCGTCCCCCGAGTCACAGTCTCCCATGGATACACTGGGACTGCTCTTGACCCGAGAACCCCACAGGTTCATGGAGCAGGGGGAGCTCTTTGCGACCCCAAAGCCCCTCCTCAGCTGCCTGGCTCCTGCAGCCCCCGTGCTGGCCTCCGGGGTCTTGCCCTCCACACACTGCTGTCTGCTTCCACTCCCACCTCTGTCACTCCACATCCTCGTGGGCCAGGCCGACCCTTCCCCAGTCCCCCCTGTGCTGTCCCACACCCACCGTGGGGTCTGTGCACATCCTGCTCCCCACCTCCCCCGTCCTGTCTGTCTCCACACCCAGCACAGCGAGGGGACCAGGGGACAGGAGAGCGAGGCTGAGCCAGCCCCCGGGGGACCCGCGATGGAGCCTCCGCTTGCAGGCACCCTTCTATCCAGGACCCCACCTACCTTCTCCGGTGTCACTTTCTCTTCTGGCTGAGGCTTCTGCAATCAGAGTGGGGCAGGGAGCAGGGGTGAGGACCAGCCTCTGGGCTAAGTCCCCCAGCCCCTGCTCCCCACTCTTTTCCTGGGGTCCCAGGACATCAACACTGCTTCCCTATACCAAGGAGCACCACCCCGCCCCTCCTTGCCCCAGGGGAGTGCATGTGACCCAATCTTACACAGCAAGGGCTTCCCATGGTCAGAGGGAGTGGTTCAGGTCATCCTCCCCTGATGGGTGCTGCTCCTTTAATGCTGGCAGGGCCGGAAGGGTGTGGAGGAGACGGCCATGATGTCACAAGGGCAGCTATGACCAGGGACCCGGTTGTCTTCCCCAGGTCAAAGCTGTTGGGTGAAGGGGAGACCCCTGCCCGTTTCCCTCCTACTGGAGGGGGACCAGAGTCCTCCGAGGGATCGCTGCCCGTGGCTGTCTGTCCTTTCCCGAGCGTGACCTCCGGCATGGCCCACTCACAGGCCCGCACCATGAGCAGGCACTGGGCAGAGCAGCTCCCGCCTGGCCACTGCTGGGCTGCCCCCCCACATCCCAGGCTTTCTGCCATGGCACCCATCTCTGCAGATGGCCGAGTCCTGCTGTTATCAGGGAGCCCACGGGGCCAAGAAGGGTCCTGCTGGAGACACGGGGGTCAGTCTGCCCCCTCCCCCTGCCCTCCTCGTGGCTGTTGGGTGGCTTAGTTCACAGCCTCTGTTCCTTAAAACCAACTTTGCGTCCTGTGTCTGAAACTTCACGGCCCGAGGCACTTTCCCATCTAGGTTGCTGAGTCTGCGAGGGGCCCTGCCCCTGAGGACTGCTCTGGGGGCAGCAGCCGTGTCTCCCAGGGGAGCAGTGCTGCGGGCTGCTTCCCAGACCACGGTCTCCGCCGTGGTGGAAACTGTGCCTCTCAGGGCACTGTCTGTCCACTTCCTGCCACGCGGCTTCCTGCATCTCTGCAGGGAACTCCTCTCTGCAGCCCTCATCCTCCTGGTGGGGTGTTTGGTCATTTAGGTCAAGCCGCGGTCGGGGTTGACATTATTGTGACTATGTGAGCGCTACTGCACCGTGCTGGGAGCACCCTTGGATGCCAGCGCCTTCCCTGCGAGCTGTGGCCCAAATCTGGTTTGGCGCTCAATTCTTATGGCACTTAAAGCCTCATGGTCATAAGCTAATGGCATCAAGAGGTTGGAAACTGAATCCAATGACAGAGTTTAGGAGGGGAGCCTGGTAAGAGGTCTTAGGCCGTCCCCTGAGGCTTAAGATTGGGCCTGGGCTCATTTCTTGGCTCAACTGATGACTGCCAGGCACCCATACCCAGCATATTCCATTGGTTTTTCTCCTACCTTCTCCATCTGTGAGTTAACTTCGAGTAACCTCTGATGATGCCAATTGGCAGCCTCCTCCAGTCTCTGCATAGCCACAGGGGACGTCTGGTGTGCAGGGCCGAGCCCTAAAGCAGGCAGCCACTCCATGCCCTAGCAATCCTGACAGATGTCTCAGCACGGCGGGGGGGTGGGGGGCAGCCCCGGAGGAGCCTCTGCCCCGCCCAGCATGCACTGCACTCACTGAGCGACGCAAAGTGGCACCCCCTGGCGGTTGCGGTGTGTGCTTCTCTGACAGGGACGCGTGACCACGGGGGCTCCAGCTGGGACACAGAGGACTTGCGCAGGTTTCTCAGCCTCTGAGCGTCTGTTTCATCTTGGGAAAGCAGCACTAGCGGCATCACGCTCCTTCCTTGAGCTGAGTGGGGGTTCACGCAGGTCAAGTCCAAGGAAGGCACCTCCTGGCTCCCGATACTGCTTCCTGCTGGCTACTGGCATCTTTGTGTCCATTTCTGGATTTTGTTCTGGGCCTCCTTTCCAATTGTGCCCCCAACATTCTCTTGAATGACTTCCGTGGACAGCCCCATGCCAGATAAACATTTTGTCAATGTCCTTTCCCAGGCCACCACCTGCCTGTAAACCTCATTCATGAGGATCTTTAATTCCACAGATTTCTGTAACATCAACAGGGTCAAAAACAGCTATTTCCATTTTGTAATTTTTAAAAAAATATTCGACAGCCAGTTCCAGAGATGGGAGGAGAGAGTGAGAGGGAGACACAGGCCAGCATTGTGGTACAGTGGGTTAAGCCTCTGTCTGACACCAGCATCCCATGAGTGCCTGCTGGAGTCCTGGCTGCTCCACTTTGATCCAGCTCCCTGCTGTGCACATGGGAGAACAGTGCAGATGGTCCAAGTACTTGGGCCCCTGCACCCACATGGGAGACGTGGATAGAGTTCCAGGCTCTTGGCTTCAGCCTGGCCCAGCCCTGACTGTTCAAGCCATTTGAGGAGAACCAGGAGATGGGAGCTCTCTCTACCTCCCTCTCTCCCTGTTACTCTGCCTTTCAAATAAACAACTATTTAAAGAGAGGTGCTCTCCCCCAAATGGCTACAATGACTGGGGCTGGGACATTCCAGGAGCCTGGAACTCCATCCTGGTCTCCTACAGGAGTGGCAGGGACCCATGCATTTGGGCTGTCTGCTGCTGCTTTCCCAGGTCATTAGCAGGGAGCTGGTTGGGAAGCAGAGCAGCCAGGACTCAAATTGGTGCCCATGTGGGATGCCGGCACTGCAGACGGCAGCTTCACCCACTCCGCCACAACCCTGGCTCCGACTTTGTGATTCTGCAAACCACTGCTTGCCCATTCAGGGCCACATGAATTTTCCATTTGGATTCTGGTTTACCTTTTACATTTAGGCTTCTACTGTTGAATTTTGATGATTTCATCAAGGAACTTCATGTATGTTGTTTGAAAGATTATTCTGTCAGTTTATAACTAGCCCATGTAGAGAAGTCTTTATCCAATGAAGCTTTTGTTTGCAGCATAACATCTTAATGACAGTGAACAAAAATTTTAATATACAAATTTGTATACATGTACACACACACACACACACACACACATGAGAGAACGAACTACTATTGTCAGGCACTCTTCTAGGTTGTAGCCCCACAGTCTTGCTTTCCTGGAGCTCACTTTATCATGGGAGGGACAGAAAGCAGACAAATACTGCAGTCCCAGCCCACTGCCCATGACAGACATTACTAATCAATCTCAAGTCTTACTCTTCCAGCGCAGGGCTCTCAACTCCTCCTGCCCCTAGGACCGCAGACAATGCCTCTGACTGCTGAGCCGACTCATGATATCGTGGGGCTGCCACCATTCTCCCTGACCCTTCACTGAGACGGGGACCTCCTGGAGCTTGGGTAACATAGAGACCCAGCGATACGTGGTTGGAGCAGACCTGGTTAGTTCTTTATTGGGAAGGGGATGCAGTCTGTGATGCGACAAATCTGGGACCCTAGAAAGATGTCCAGCTCGAGTTTTAGCTGGCTTTCTGTGAGCTCATAGTGGCCCTGGAAGATACCACGAGTGTGGCAACTGTGCCAGCGCCAGGAAATCTGGATGATACGAACAGCGTTGAGCAGTCGACAGTATCGCCTTCGGATGTGCCACATGCGGAACCAGGACTGCAGCCTGGTAGACGCCCACGTTTCCCGTGCATAGAAGTCCAGCGCCGCCCGCCGCCGCCTCTGCAGCAGGATCATGAGCGTGTGCCTCCACCAGCACTGGATGATCCAGGCTCTGAGCGCCGCGTGCAGGAGCGTGCGGCGGAGCAGCGTGCCCCGCCACCATGCCTGGATCTTCCGGGCTGCCGCTTCACTGCTGGGGCGCGGCTTCATTTTCAAGAGGAGGTGCATTGCAGGGAAAAGAAAAGACACTCAGCAAACATTGTGCACACAGCTGAGAATCAGGCTATGCCAGGAAGGGGTCCCGATCCTCTCATCAATAACCCTCCTCCTCCAGTTCAGGAGCACCGAGCCGTGCAGCCTCCGAACGTGGGGGACCAGGTAAGGCTCCTTCCTCTGCCAGTCTGCCGTGTCCGTTCACAGAAAAGGACGCATGGCCTTGACTTCTGAGCCCCAAGGTCCCCCCCACCCCACCCTGTGCAAACAGCCTAACACCAGGCCTTGTCCCATCTGGGCCTGAGCCCCTACCAGGACCCAAGGGCTTCCCTTCACCCACCCGCTGCAGGCGAAGCACCTTTGCTCAGTGGCTCTCACACGCCAGCTCACGCCCACAACCTGCTCCCTTCCTCTGCCACATGATGGCGTTCACGACTTCCCTGCCCCACGCGCTGGGGGGACTGTCTCATTCCTTGCTCGCTCTTCCAGCTTTTCCACTTACACGTTAGTGAACACACACAGACATGCTCGCACATGCACACTTTTAGCCCTGGGTTTCCCCTGACCAGGCCACGTGCTCCCCAAACACAGCCCTCCCCGCCCCTGCAGAGTCCGCTCCTCATTGGGGTTACCCCCTCCCAACCTGCGTGCCTCAGTCCCGGGCTGAGAAGCGAATGGGAGGAGTCAGTCCCCACTCACTCCAGCGCTACACAGGACACGCGCTTGTCCCGGTTGGCTGGGACATCCTTCTTGAGGGCGGCTGCTCTGCAGTAGGCATTAACAGCACCCCCTTTGCCTGACACGTGTGTCCTGGTTGGACAGTGACCGACATGGCCGTCCATGCTATGGGCCAGGGAGAAGGGAGTCACCACTGCTGGGTGACACAGATCAGAGCTGTTGGGGGTTGGGGCCGCCCCCACCTGGGGAGGCTGTGCTGCCTACCTTTGGCTTCGGAGGTGGAGGTGGTGGTGGGGGAGGTTGTTTTACTGTTTTCTTTTCTTTCTCTTTCTTTGTCCACACTGTGGTTTCATCGACATCTTCGATTATTATTTCACAGAACTGGCCATCCTTCTGTAACCAGAGTCAAAAAGGGGAAAAGAGTGGCCAGTTGTTCCTTCTGCAGCGGAGCGTCCGCTCTGCCGCACGCTGCACCTCTGCTTGTGCCCAGAGACCTAGACTTTGGATTTGTGTCCTGCGTAACTGTGGACATGCACCCTCCCCTGCCTGCACCTTTGTGGGAACTGGCCATCTCTTACACAAAATCGAATGCCCATGACTCAGAAATGGATGGTTCGAATCCCCTCAGGTCTGCAATCCCCTACATGGCCCATGGTTAGGAGCCAGATGGATCCATCATGCTCAGGTCTGCACCCTTGGGGCCAGGGCTCTGGCAGGAAGAGTGGAGGTGGGAAGAGTGATGATGTCATAAGGGTAACTATGACTCGGGCATCACGCTGGCCCCCAACAATGAAAGAAAATTATAGATATTCTTGTCCATTCTTTCCTGCCAAACATTTAGCTATGAAAGCAAGGCTCATTGACACAAAAGTGTTTATAACTATTTTGATCCCTTAGATGAAATCACAAAATTCAAACAATTTAAGTCTCTCTTGATAGAGAATTCAACCACATAGATTTCAGTTAAACCATGGAATTAAATATTGATGAAGAATAAGTTTACAGCAACATTTTTTTTTTTAAAGAAAAAAGGACCTTCCATCTGTTGGTTCACTCCCCAAATGGCTGCAATGACTAGGGCTGGGCCAGGCTGGAGCGAGGAGCCAGGAGCTTCTTTCCCAGGTCTGCCAGATGGGTGGCAGGGGCCCAAGGACCTGGGCCATTGTCCTGCAGAAACATGCAGTCTAATTGATGAAACATAAAATTGAGAAAAATTCAATATCCAATGACAGAGAATTCAATTACACAGATTTCAGTTGAACAATGGGACCAAATATAGATGAAGAATAAGTTTGCAATGGAATTTTTTTTTAAAGATTTATTAGGGCTGGCTGGCATCCCATGTGGGCACTGGTTCAAGTCCCAGCTGCTCCACTTCCGATCCAGCTCTCTGCTATGGCCTGGGAAAGCAGTAGAAGATGGCCCACATCCTTGGGCCCCTATAAGAAGCTCCTGGCTCCTGGCTTTGGACTGCCACAGCTCTGGCCATTGCAGCCAATTGGGGAGTAAACCAGGGGATGGAAAACCTCTCTCTCTCTACCTCTCCTCCTCTCTGTGTAACTCTTTCAAATAAATGGGTAAATCTTAAAAAGATTTATTTATTTGAAAGGCAGAGCTACAGAGAGGCAGAGGGAGAGAGAAAGAAAGTCTCCCATCTGCTGGTCCATTCCTCAAATGGCCCAAATGGCCAGAGCTGCGCCAATCTAAAGCCAGGAGCCAGGAGCTTCCTCCTGGTCTCCCAAGCAGGTGCAGGGGCCCAAGGACTTGGGCCATCTTCTACTGCTATCGCAGGCCATAGCAGAGAGCTGGATTGGAAGAGGAGCAGCCGGGACTTGGACCAGCGCCTATATGGGATGCCGGCACTGCAGGAGGAGGATTAACCCACTGCGCCACAACGCCGGCCCGGCAGTTACTAAGACAGTGAAATGTGTAGCCTCCCTGGGATGAGCAGTTCCACTCCCAGGTATGGAGAGGAGGTGTGAAAACGTGTGATTACAACTACCTGTGCCTGAGTGTTCACAGCAGCTGTGTTCAGCAGGTCAGAGCCGGAACACCCCAAAGGTGCGCCAGCAGGCGAGGAGACAAGGCTGTCCTGGCTACTCACAGAACGGAATGAGACTCGGGAATCAGGTGCAGGGGCAGCTCTTCCAATCCAGCTCTCTGCTGTGGCCTGGCAAAGCAGAAGATGGCCCAGGTCCTTGGGCCCCTGCACCCACATAGGAGACTGGGAAGAAGCACCTGGCTCCCAGCGCAGCTCCAGCCGTTGCGGCCATTTGGGGAGTGCACCAACAGACAGAAGACCGCTCTGTCTGCCTCTCCCTCTCACTTTAACTCTACCCTCTCACTCTATCCAGTGCAGAGGGGCAGCCTGACTGCCCCAGCCCTCAGCCCTCCCTTCAGGCTTCCCCGCCCCCAGCCCCTGAGCGCTCTCCCCCACCCTGGCCCTGCCTGCTTCTCCTGGGAAGTGCCAGCAGAGCGAGTGTTCAGCCCCCAGGGAGGAGGCGGCAGGCACAGCAGCTGTCCCTAGGCTCCTGCTCTGGCTGTGTCCCCACCCCAGGAGGCGCGGCGCCCGCCCTGTCCCTGCTGTTGCTATGCTGAGGGGCCTTGCCTTGTGGGCTGCCTGCGAGCCCTGTGCTGGCTCCAGCACCGGCATGGGCTAGACAAAGCCAGACACCCTGGTTCTCTGCTCTGACTTGAGGTGCCCAGGCAGGGCCTGCAAAACAATAAAGCCAGTCTCTCCAGTCCTTGGGGAAGGAGCTGGAGCACACCAGGGTCTCGTTCAGAGACAGGAGTCGCTGGATCTGATGCGGAGCAGCACCCCAGAGTGCCCGTCCAAATGCCCGCCAGTGGCGGGAGAAGGGAACTCAATCCCCATCTCCCATGGGGGTGGCAGGCACCCAAACCCTTGCGCCATCAACAGCGGCTACCCAGAGTCCACATTAGCAGGAAGCAGAAGGGAGGAGCAGGACTCGGGCCCTGTGTGGGATGTGGGCAGCCTAACTGGTGCCTTACCTGCTGGGCTCAGTGTCCCCCAGTTTATTATTTTGGTGCTATACCTTTAAAATTGGATGTGTATTTTACCTTGGTAGCATGTCTCAAACCAGGAGTAGCCACATTTCTAGATGCCAACAGCCACATGTGGCTAAGGGCTACCAGATTTCATAGCAACCTGTACAGAACGCAACATGTGATCTTACCTTGCCAGTGTCTGATGTAAATTTGGTGCTCTCACCTTACCGAGACAATTCAAGAAGCCAAGAACATTTTACTTTCACATAATTATCTTCCCAACTTATATGATTGTGGTTTCAGTCCACATACATTTAGATTTTCCCACATATATCCTATGTTCATTGATCCTGAATCTGCCTGCCATCCAAGCTCATCCTCGTTCACCCTGAAGAATATCCGTTGGTATTTCTCTAAGTGTCTGGGTTCTCAATTTTCGCCCAAGAAGTTCTGCGTTTCAGCCTCCTTGTTGAAGGATAGTCTCCACAGGTAGACCAGTAGTTCTTTCCTGTGCGTGTTCTAACAAGGTGACTTCCTGTCCTCTCGCTTCCACTGCTCCTGTGAGAAGTCACCCGTTAGGCTAATTGTTGAGCCTTTGAAATAATCTTTCTCTCTTTTTGGGAGCTTTCTGTTTTTCCTGGGTTTTTATACATTATGTGCCTATACTTACTTTTCTTTTGAATTTTTCCTGCTTGAGATTTATATGGTTTCTTGAATTTTCAGTTTTATGCCTCCCATTGGTTCTGGGAAGTTCTCAGCTATAATTTTTCAGGTAGGGCCTTTGACTCACTCTTCTTCCTCTGGGGTGAGTCTCCTCGGATGTATTTGACCTTCTCATTCCATCTCCGACGTCTCCGAGCCTCTTTCACGGCTCCGTGCTGAGGTCTCTGGGCTGCAGTCCACACATTGGCTCCTGCCTGTCCTCCAGGTCTCTTACCCACCTCTGTGTGTCTGTGTGATCCAGTGAACTCATGCATTGAATTCCTACCTGGATCACCGTGTCCTGTCATCTAAAATCCCCATGGGATACGTTTTCAACAGACACCTTTCCGGCTGGATTCTCATTTTCTCCTGTTTTCTGTAGCACAACAGTGATTTTCAAGTTTGCATCTGTGACTTCATTCTCTGGACCCTCTATGAGTCCATATCTGTTGTCCATTATTTCTCTTAAGTATTTTTTTATCTTGACTTTTTTTTATTGAGGGCTGGACATTGTGTGCGGGGGGAATTCTCACCATCAGCCAAGGTCTGAGGTGACGTCACCTTCTCTAGAGGTGGTTCATGTTGGCTTCTGGCAGGTGGCTGGCGCGTTAGCAACCATGGATCATTTGAGCCCCTGTCAGAGATTGAGATGATGGAAGACGGGACTCATCTTGTAAGAGAGCAGAAAGGACCAAGGCCAAGTGGCCCTGGGAAGGCCCTCCGCACCCTCTTCTCGTGCCCGGTCATCCTGTGCCTGCCTCTGCCCTCTCACCCTGGGGCCCGGCTTGCCCTCTTCTCCTCGGGTGGGCTCTCCAGGCTCCTCTCCATCCAACCTCGACACCGCAGGGCAGGCATCCCGTGAGCTCTCCTTAGCGCTCCCCAGACGGTCACACCGCCCCTCTTTTTTTTCAAGGTTTCATAGAACAGGACACAAAACAGACTGCGAGGCTGGCCCTGGACTTGGAGGTCAGGACGCTGGCTAGGGTGCCTGTGTCGCTCACCACAGTGCTGGGGCTTTGGTCCCAACTACGCTCTCGACACCACCTCCTGCTAGTGTGCACCCGGAAGAGGTTGTGTTGCTGCCACTCAGGTAGGAGGCCTGGACTAAGTTCCTGGCTCCTGGCTCTGGCCCTGGCCCAGCCCTGGCCATTGTGGGCGTTTGGGTAGACACACTCAGATGGTCACAGTGTCATCATCATTGTTATGGCCATGACTGCATTTAGACTTAATTGTGTCCTTAGTCTGAAGACTCGGGGCTGTCCCTGCACAGACAGGGGAGGATAGCAGTCAAGTGCAAGACACGGCAGACTTTGATCTGGTACCGTTTCCTCAGCTTACAGAAGTCCACGTGTGGAAATCGGCACGTGTGGCAGCTTGTATCCTCCAAAGTCCCGGGCACTGCTCACACGTGCCGATTTCTTTGTACCAGGGACAAGATCAAGGTTCACCTGCACATAGGGAACCAGTGCCCCCGTTTCCCCCTGCTCTTTGAAGTCATCGATCACATGGGCACATGATTGGCATTGCCACCCACAACTCTTCTGGTCCAGAGGATTTTCTGCTAACCAGCTCCTGGTGTGTGGCTTTCTGTCAAGCACATGCGGATATGTGACAATGGAAAACCAAGGCCAAGGTCTGAGTGACCCAGCTGGTAAAGGTAAAATGTTAGATTCTGGGAGTTTGTTACTCACACAGACCAAAGAACAGAGACGAGTCCAGAGTGCCAGCCCCTGTAGGTCTGGTCTTACCCAACAGAGGGTCCCAGGGCTGGAGGACCCTGCTGTGTGAAACCACTTCCGCACAGCGGCCAAGCGACTGTCTGCGCTGCAGGGGCAGAGCCGAAAGCCCCACGCCTCTCAGGACTCGGAGGAGATGGGAAACCCTTAGGACAGCCGCCCAAGGCAGACAAGGAGCCGCAGAGACGCTCCTCACAAGCCTCAGATCCTCCGCTGTTGCAGGAGACTCAGGTTCTACCAGGACTCAGGTTAACCATGCCTCAAGCCTGTGCCTTATAGCGTGGGTAGGTGTGGGCAAG